TATAAAAATTTAAAAAATTAATTAAAATTAATTAAATATAATAGAATTAAATTAAATAAAACCAATTAAATTAAATTAAATTGTATTAAATAAAATTATATCAAATGAAATAAAATGAAATCAATTAAATTAAATCGAATCAAATTATATTGAATTGTATTGAATTGAATTGAATTGAATTAAATTGAAATAGAATTGAATAGAATTAAATTAGAATTAAATTAGAATTGAATTAGAATTGAATAGAATCAAATCAAATTAAATCAAATTAAATCAAATTGAATAGAATTAAATCAAATTAAATAGAATTAAATCAAATCATAGAATAGAATCAAATTAATTTTATTCGATTTGATTCAATTTCAATTTTATTTTAAATTTGAATCGAATCAAATTGTTAAGATTCTTATTAAATTGTCATTTTATATATCTTTTATATATCCAGATATCTGTATAAAAATCCAAATAAATAATTATTTTTTTTACTATATTAAGTTTTTATTTTATAATACTTGTTATATCTTTTACTTGAATAATTATTTTGTAATAAAAATAATTATATTCAATATATCAGTTTATAAATAGACTAAATAATTATCTAAATAATTTAAAGGTTTTATTATTGATAAGTAAATTTTTTTACTTTATTTTTTAACTTTATAAATAATAAATTTTTGTTTAACTTGTCAAAAGTTAATAAAATAATTATCTGTTACAATTTTTCTATATTTATCTAAGCTTTTTTGCTTAAGTAAAAATAATATTTATCTATTTTTTTATAATAACTATATTTTATTATTATCTATTTTAAATATTATTAGTTGTCATTTCAGTTTTTATTTTGTTATACTTTAAATATCTGATATAATAGATAGTTGAAAATAGATAAGACTTTGCTTTTGAAATGATTTTAAAAGTAAAAAATTTTTTAATTAATAAAACTCTTTTTACTTATTTTATCAGAAAATTTTTTTTTTAAAAATTTTTTTCTCTTTTTCTCTATTACTTCTTTCCTTCATCAAAAAGATAAAAACAGATACAGGATAAAAAAAATCTAAGATGTGTTAGCACCATATAAGGTTTTGTAATTGTTTGATAATTTATATCTGAAAAAACACTTTTGCTTAAAAAAGTATAAACAGACCAACTCCTTTGCATGACAGAAGTCTAAGACAAGAAAAAGAAAAGCTTTTGAATTGGATCAACCTTTTCTTGCAAGATTCTCTGTATATCTGATAATCACAAGCATGGGAATAGTTTTCTTTGTTTTCTTTTTTTGTTACAATGCATGTGTAAAAAAATAATTTTTCTGATCGTAGAGTCCGCAGAAGAAACGTCGCAGTATATTTATATCAAACCTCTCGTTTTAAGATTTCATCTTTTTCATTTTTAGTTAGATTTAAGATGAATGTCAGAGATAGATTTAATGTGCTATTTTTTCTTTACCAATGTAACGATCAGTGTACTAAAAAAAGATATCTGACAATGTAACACTTCGCAAGGCACAAAGTGCTAAATATATCACGCCGTGTAAAGTTAGTCACATGCACATATTTAAAGCCCAATTAGGTAAATTGCATAACGGTCACTTTATTTACTCTTAAGACTTCAACCAAATCAAAAGATGTTGCGGATGGATAATTTTCAATTGAAAATCATGTGATGAGATAATTACACATCGCTTAACTTCACCTCAACCTAAAAGATAGCAATAAGATTAGCCCTGAACCAAAAAATGAGCGGATACATAAAAATGATGAAAATATACCTTGCGAAGAGTTGCTGCCGTTTTCCTTGTCATTCTCATCTTTTTGGTTGGGATTTTTATGTTTTCATTATAAGTGGTATAGGACGGAAGCTTTTCAATATATTCTTCTACGAAATTCTGAAACTTGTAATTAGCAAATCACGAAGTTGATAATTTATTAACACAATAATACAAAATGACCATCAAATTTACCATCAGATTTTCTACTTCATGTAATGCATTTTCAACCAAACACAAGCTAATATTACTTTTTGGCATCTCAAACTCTCCCATCAAATACATTCTGTATACAGCATCATACGAAAGGTCCATAACATATATACGGACATTATAACCTACCAACAGAATGTTAAACTAATTAGATAAATCATTCAGAAAAAATATATATCCGGAAAGCTACATACCAAATACATGGATTCCAAATACAGCCATGTCTAATTCAAGACATTTCTCGTTATACATGTTATCTAGTGAGTCTTTCATTAATACTCCTAGATCCACTAAATCAACATTTACGAAATGGGTGCTACTTTTGTAAGGCGATTTGAATAGGCCAAATACAACTTCAAATTTGCCACTTATTTTATTGATTGTGATTGTGAAGTCGGGTTTATGTCCTTCACCTTCGACATTTTTTTTCCTAGATGCGCTTACGAATGACAACTTGTTTGCCCTATAAAGAAGCAAATAAAACATTGATACTGCATTTAACCGCCCACTAAAGTATGAATGACGTGTAAAATTACCAATCAATTGTCCTATCCGGTCTGTCGGGGAAAAATGGACATAAAAGAGGATGTATTGAATGATGTACGTGTGTATCTTCTATTGTTTGAAGACTATCAAAACTTGTTCGCCAATTATTTGCACTAATTAGAATTATCTTAGTAACTTAAGAAATACGATAATTAAATACCAAATTAAGAAAACACCCACATGTGATTCCAAACATTCCGACCGATTCTCAGCAATTTTTTATCGGATGGACTCGAGTTCGACCTTAAATCATTATAAGCGTTGTCGATTTCTTCTTCTAGAGCATCCCTGGTCTGCTTTCGGGCAACTTGAGCACATCGATGACATATATCTTCAACTACTTTCGGTAAATCGTATTTCGGGTATATCGTCCTCATTTGCTCAAAAATTTTTGTGCGGATGGCTGATGAAATATTTAATTGTACACGGACAGAGTTTTCCTCCAAAAGTAGTATAGAATTTAGAGCGCTGGACATTAACAATCCAATATATTAATATTAACATTCCTAATTGTCAATATATATACACCACATAAAAAGATAACGTGTTAACTAACAGAATTTCGCCGGGGTGCTCGGAGAATTTCAACGCATGTCTATCTGCTTTTGATTCAGCAAAACTTTTGAAACGAAAAAATGCTTCACTTATGTTCGTGTCATCAATGGTCCACTCCTGTACAGAATTTAAGATCTATTACTGTAACTATTTGTTTCAAGTCCTCGTATAAATTTCATTCAAACACAAAGTACGTTTAATATTGTTATTTTCCTTCTGCCTATTTGTTTTTTCGACCGATTCATCCTGATATTCAATTTTTCGGATATGTCGAACTGTAGATGAAATTAAAAACGTTCATGAAAAATTAACATTTGCTAAGTTGCTCTGGAAAGACTACAAATTCTTCACCTTTTCTGCTTTTTCAGATGACTTACTACACTGTTTTGAACTGCTACCAGTTGACTTAGGATCTTTATCATCATCAGCCTAAAAGGAATCCCACAAATAAGTTGTTATTTTTAAGAGAAATTCAAATCCTTATCATAGATAAATTCTATACCGACCTTCTTTGGTAAAGATAAAATTATTTTCTGTTTTGGTTGGATAGGCATGAAATCGTCATCGGACTAAATACAAAAAGAAAGAGTTATATCAGACCGACCACAATTCTCATAGATTACACACCCATACCTCATGATCCTTTGCTTCACTGCTTATACTCTTAAATACATTAATGGATTCAGTCTCTGAACCAGGTATTATGCTAATATTAAGATCTTGTGATTGGTTATCAAAGGTGACATCGAAGGAAACGGAACCTCGCATGGAACTTGATGATGAAGAATTATCTTTCGATAAATCCGTACTCTCGGCTAAATTAATGACTCTATTATCGCTGATTAATGGATAATCAATATCGTCATCTATGTTCCTGTCGGTGGTTTTAGACTGAAAATTTTTGAGGAATTCGCATGAACAAAATCCTTATCATAAGTTGCATTTATACATACTTTTTTAACTGAGACATTCGATTTTTTATTCTGTAGGTATAATAAAGTCATTGAAAAATACTCTCATAAATTTCAAGACAACGTTTTATATCAAAAAAATTGTATTTTTATATTCTAACCTTTGACAACAATAATTTCTTCCGCTTTGGTTGACGGGTAGGCATAGGCATAAAATCATAATTGAACTAAATACAAAGAGAAAGAGTTAGTTTCTAACAGACAATCACTATCTCACAACTTCCAGCAAAAAAAATTACGTATCTGTACCTCTCTTGTTGATAATCCAGTGAAAGTTCCGCTGTTGATATTACTATTAAAAGCAACTACATTTCCGTTTCCGACAATTTGCTGGTGGATATAAGTTTTACCATGCAAGCGCTTCTCCTTCCACTCTCTTGCTTTTTTGCGGTCTGGTTTTGGATCCTAACTTGAAGATTTAGAATAAGTAATATTCTTTGACTAAACACCTCAAATCTATTCGATTTCCCGTCCCACCAGAACATCACGCAACCCAGGAGGTCACCTGTGCCCAGTGGGTCCGATGTTGGATCGGCAAGGAGCCTTTGGCATCAGATAACTCAAGTGAGGTAACTGGTGCGCCAACACCAGTTTCGTGGCTCGGCAAAGAGCCTTGAATGAGCGCCTACCAAGGAGGTCCACGTCACGCCACTTTCTTCAAACTAAATTCCCAATAGAAAAAAAAAATATTAGCACTCACCTTTTGATATTTGTCAAGTAGCGCCTGAGCGCATTTCTTCTTGATGTCTTGCTCACAGTCAACAATTTTTTTGAGCCATTTTATGTAATAATCTATTTTCATTTCAAAAGGTTCTAGTTCACATTCATTTAGAAACCCGAGAATGCACCACTTCGCGGGATCTTGGTCGAAATATTTGTGTATTTTAATTTCATTAGACATTGTGAAGTCGTGGATAAAAGATTCGAAAATTATCAGACGCGTATGAAATTATGTATTACAAAATACATTTTTGCCAGTACCCATGACATGATCATGGGATTTATATAATTCTATATTTAATAAATTTAATTATCAAAGTTCTTATACACACCCCTACGGTAAATTACCGGGATTTTCACGTGAGTCGACAAACGATCGTTTTTTTTTTTTTTAAAATTTTATTTAACTTTCATTAATTTATGTACAGTCAGCAAAAAAATAAAATAAACTATAATGATCATAATTTATTTTCATGCGATTCAAAACATGATATATTAATATTTCATATTTTTACCCTTAGTCTTAATAATTGTTTTAACACATAGAGACAAGCTTAAAATTATGTGTCATACTGTTTCAATGCTTATTTTTTCCTATTTCTCTTGTATAATACAAATAAATTCTTGTCTAGATATGGGTAAAGGTTTTCTTTTTTGGATCTGACGATCCAAATGGTTCCACAAATTCTCAATTGGATTGAGGTTGGGATTTTGAGCAACCCAATTTAAAACTTAAATTACATGTGATTTGAGCTACCAAGCCATATATTGAGTGATGTGACAATTGGCTCCGTTTTGTTAAAATATGACATCTGGATTATTACAAACCCAAGGTATAAAGTTGGTGGCTAAAACATTTACGTAAGTCTCTGAATTTATTGTTTAATTCACGAGTACTAAGAGGTTAACACTATTCCACAAGAAACAGTTCCAAAACATAGTTGATTTCCTGTCTAATTTTACAGTAGGCTTAATGCAATCTATATTGTATTCTTCCCCAACTAGGGCTCCTAATGATACCACTTCGATACCATTTCGATACCAGTTCGATACTTAAATTTACTATAAAAACATATAAGTAGGTTACAATCCATATATTAAATTTACTATAGATCGGTACCATTTTGATACCAGTTCGATATCAGTTCGGTACTTTTTCGGAACCTTATCTCCAACCTTGCGCCAAACTCATACTCATTCATCAGACTCAAATAAGGTGAATCGTAATTCGTCAAACCACACAATTTGTTTTCATTTCTTGTCCCAGTCATATTTAGTTCTGTATCAATTAAGTTAAGTTAAACATTGTTTATTTGATAAAAGAGACTTTTTTCATGCAGTACAACTCCCTAGTCCCATTTCGTGTAAGTAGTTTTGAATAGTATTTGCATGAAATGTTGAGATGAGATAGGTATTTATATCATTTGAAATGTTACTTAAAGGTGTGAAATAATCTTTTTAAACATAACATTATACTATTCGCTGATCATAGTCAGAAAAGAATTTTGGTCATCCAGGATACATATTAGGGTGTGGGAAACTGTTTTTTTATAGTAATTTATTGTGTCATAAACAGTTGAGAAAGGTATACCAAATTGAGAGAAAATAATTTTGTCTTTAGTACCTAAAAATATATATGCCAATTATTTGTTCATATTGTTGAAGCTTAACTCGAAACCTTACATTTTTAGTATGACAGAAAACTGTGAAATGAAAAAAGTAACACAAAAAAATTTTTTGGGTATACAACAAAAATTAAGAAGGAAAAATGATTTAAAAAAAATTTTTTTATTGTGATCAACCAATCATAATAATCTATCATGGTAATTTATTGTAAGAGTATATAGAAAATCTTAAATTATGATATAAATATTGATTAATTGTTTAGACTTGTAGGTCCATAGTATAGTGGTTAACACTTTACAGGTCAAATCACAAGATATCAGTTCAACCCTAGGTAAAGGTGGTTGAACCGAATTAAAAATGGTATCTGGAGCCATAACCTATTAAGCCTTGTTTTCTATAAAAAGTCATTTGCACATTGATCCAGTAAGACGTTGGGATTGTGATTTCCATAAAAGATATTGTGGTGCAACGATCATCTGGTTGGTGTTACGATGATCACCAGAAGTTGTAAGGTATATGAGGTATTACTTTTGACTAGTAGGTTTAATGATCCTTCCCTTAATATCTGGCATCTTTCACACAGATTTCTGCTCTAGTCTTATTCCAATCCAGTAATAAACTAGTCTGACAGTACTTATTCCGAGAAGGCTTCTGGCTATAAGTCCTGTTCCTTGCAATGTGTAAGTTGGTATTCAGGTAGTAAGTACCAGTTATAAATACCTTGAATGTTCTTGGGTATTATTGGACAGATAAAAAATTAAATAATTAATCTAGCTGCAAGTGGTGATAAAGAAATTTATTCCCAATAGAGCAAGCAGTGATTATATAGCTTTATTCATCATAAATATTACCTCTAGTACTTCTTTCAACTTCCCCTTAATTTTTCTTCAGTTAGAAATAAAGCTATCCAATTACTAGTGAAAATGCATGCTACTGGTCCAACAAAGAATTACCTTTGTTCAACAGATTAGTCTTTATATCTATATCAGAAAATTTTTTAGCAAAGATCTTTGAAGATCTTTGGGTGTAGACTTTCAGAGGATCTCCGTTGTCGTTAAAAGACTTCAGAGTGAAGGTTACTATATTAAACTCTGAAGATCTTCGATTTATTTTAATAATAATAAAATATATTTATATTCACATATTATAATCTATTAATATTTCATTTTTAATGTTTATTTTATTGACTTTTAAAATTATTTATTATTACATAATGCTTGTTTACATTTATTTATTTGGTT